AATAAAAAATAAAAATAATTTAATATCACTAGAGCCAAATCAACAAAAAGCTTAATGAAGGGTAAGCACAAATTCGAAATTGTGCGAGAAAGCAAGGCGTGTGGTTACGATCTAACGATAAAGAAAAGTACATAGAGGAAGATCTTAACAAAGGTTAATCAAGCTATAAAGTAGGTAGAGATCTACACAGGACAGTTTCGTACAAAGAGGAAAATCTAAAACTCAGGAACTAAGCTATAATGAACTGTAGAGATCTACACAGGACAGTTTAGTATATACAAAGAGAAAGATCTTAACATACTACAAATAGGAACGACACCGAAAGTTAACTTATCAAACTGTAAAGAAATGTAGAGATCTACAAAGGACAGTTTAGTACATAGAGAAAAATCTAAAACACAGGAACGACACCGAAAGTCAACTAATCAAACTGTAGAGAAATATAGAGATTTACACAGGACAGTTTAGTACATAGTCAGAGAAAATCTAAAACATAGGAACGACACCGAAAGTTAACTAATCAAGCTTTAGGGAAATATAGAGATTTACACAGGACAGTTTAGTACATAGAGGTATATTTAAACACAGGAACGACACCGAAAGTTAACAAATCAAGCTATAGAGAAATGTAGAGATCTACACAGGAGAGTTTAGTACATAGAGAAAAATCTTAACACAGGAACGACACCGTTCCAGAATATATATTATTATTATTACTGCATTATTGATGTTGTGAAAGAATGTTAGAATGATGGATGACATTATTTATGCACAAAAAAATATTTATGACAAAAGAACATTTACAAAATTAACTTTCCTCAAAAGAGGAAAAATAACGATGTGTTTATTTATAAAATCATTTTTTGATAGATGATTATATGATTCATTTTTCGTATATCTGTCGTCATTCATCAAAGAGTATTATGTTTTAACATTCTTTACCACATATCACAAGATAAGAAAAAACAAAGAAAATTGAACTCAATCATGTTGAGTAAATATGACCAATAATTCCCATCGTTCAAATGTAATATCTGAAATCCGACTTCTAAGTTGTTACGATTACACATAGAGCAAGAGCTATGAAAGTTTGGAAAATCCAGCGGTTTTAATAATTTTGTTCCGTTGACATCTTAGGGCAAAGCGTTTACATCTTACACGTTTTCTTATATATCCATGCGTGACCAATGTATACAGAGTATTAAAAAAGTAAAGATGAAATCGCTTTTCATAACGAAAGCCATAAAGTTAGTAAATTACCCTGCCTGATTCGCCTGGTAGATCATAACATTCTTTATAGGGGTAGAAATGTATATTCTTATTTATGACTGGTTCTAATGTGGTAAAAAGATGAATAGTGCATTCACAGCAATTATTTTAATGGATTGGTTTTCTTATGTAATTATAAGTTGATTACTGAGTTTTCTGTCGCCTAGGCTACCACAGAAACAAGTTAGGACATAAAATTTCATTTAACTGAAACAGTATGGCTGAAATGCGGTAACGCGTCGGTTGCTCTGAATTCACTGTTACCGTGTTTAAAAGAGTTTCTGCAGAAATCAAAGAAAATTACGAAAGTTTTTATCAATCAGCCGACCATGGGGTTGTTTCAAAGTAGCTGATCAAACAGAATTTTGATCAAGAATCATCCATAATTTACCCAGTTTATGACGTGTCTAACGAACAGTATTGATCAGTTTGTCTGTGTATATCCAAAATATTAAGTCTGAACCTACAGGGGGAGGCTGACCGACACGAGGTGTGATGGCTATTTCGATAAAACCTCCAAAGATCGATTGGCCAACATACCCGCCATGCTCCATTGGGGAAAAGACAAACCAAAGACGTTGCTTTAACTATCGACATTTTTTTGTCATTTTCTATGACATGTTGGCAATTAAGTAAATTTCCTCACATTACCTGACTCTTTCTCGCATGGTAAGGGTGGCAGGCTATAAATGGCTTGAGCGTCAGTTTGAAACGGAAGTGATGCAAAGTGGGTACCTCATGACCCGTCTGGTGCATTCAATCGATGTAGTCCGTCAATAACTACACTTCATACAGGTACGTATTATCATATTTCCCAATGTTTTCATAAAAAAGTTCATGGAAAGAAATATATATTAATGTGTTTTCAACTTTCTTACCTGAAAGGTAATCTTTCCTCAAAGATAAACTTTGATCATTTAAAGGTTAATCCAAAGTTTTTATAAAAAATCTTGTTTCTGAATGTTTCTTTTTTTAGTTGCAAAAAAAATTAAAAGTGTATGATGGGTTTACGTGTCGACCATTTGCATTAGAAGTTTTATATCAAGATCTATCACTTACATCTAATATGTCTTTCCCTGACTTTTTTTATGTAATTCATAACTTTTTAAATTCTATATACATACTCTTTCACAATGTCTGATTTTATAAGATAGATGTCATTTATTTGTGTATCTGTGGTAGGTTGTCGATGACGATGCAGAAACTAGGCTCATCAGCACGTGTTTGTTGTCATGGAAACCGGATATGGCCGCTTCTGTAACGGAAAGAGGTAAGGGAAATGCACGAAAAAGAGAAAAAGTGTTCGAATTTATTCCATCCCATCGTGATCGAGTATCTGACATCTTGAGAACAAGTTTGCTAAACGCTAGGGTTTATCTGTCATAAGTTGTTACGATATTGGCTGCACATCGTGTAATAAATTTCGAATGTGAGTGTTCGAATGTGATTCTTGTTCTTGGAAGTGGAGTTAAATACTTCAGTGCAGCATTACCCATACTGTACGACATTGATCAGATTGACATGTCATGGGAATTAATTTCGTATACAGTGTTTTTTTCCCTAGTCTCTTTCTGTTGGGAAGTCGAGGGTCTGAGTTCGATTTACAACTTTACATGTACATTTTCTTGTTTGTTTGTTTGTTTGTTTGTTTTTTTTTAGACAGCTGTATATTAAGTATACTTCGATATCGTTAAAAAAAATATACGTAAAGCTGACGAAATCATAACCAAAACGCAATAACTGCTGGTCAGGTTTATCAGTCCTTGAATTCATTTGAATGCTGGTCAGGTTTATCAATACTTGAATGTATTAAAATGTGAATTGTATGAAGTATCTGCGTATATATTGTAGGGATGCGCGATTTTATCGGTATACCGGTATATCGTGATTTTTTATTGCGTGATACGTATCGTGATACGGAGACTAAAATACCGGTATTTGGTACATAATTAAAAATTCAAGAAATTATTCATTTATTTCTTTGAATTATTAAATAAAAATTACAGGAAGTCTAAAAAATGTTGAAAAAAGTTAAACTATGGCATCTAAACATGCTTTATATTATATTTTAAAAAAAATGAGAAAAGTGAAGTTATGTTTTTACAGCGTACTTGTAAGAAAAATTATAGAAATTCATTAGAAATTCTAGTAAAAATTCTGTGTAAAAATATCACGATATTATCGTGATATTTTGGGGGGGGGGAATCGTGATATATCACGATACGAAATTTTTTGCGATACCCATCCCTAATATATTGCACTATTCACATGTGGGGCCAGTGTTTAATTAGTCTGTATGAAATATGATTATTAAATATAATTTTTTTCCCATCCGGTTTAAAGAGTAGACATTAAGTAATACATTTCTAGGTCATAGATTCAAACAACTTGTGACAATAACAGAGCGGCGTTTAATTTATGTAAATTTGCTTTCAAGATGCTATGGTGTGCAAGTTGTGGTGAGATGGAAACCAAAACACTTTTTCTTGACCTTTGAATTATCTTTTCATCTTTATTGTATTATTATTATTATTATTATCATTATTATTAATTGGTATAGAAAACTCCGACAAGAATGCGCGCTAATATTTTTTCCTTATCTTAACTAGAGCAAAAATTTGGTTGTGGTGTTCCGTTTACATAGAATTTGCAACAAGGAACGGAATTAATAAAGTCTTATCTCGACCCATTTACATACCGATAATAATTTACATGTAGCTAAAAGCCAGTTATATTAATAACTATAAAACTTTCTGTGTAATCTTGATTTTAAGCAGAACTTGATCTCTACCATGTTACGTTTTAAGTTATAATTTGTTGCAATGGATTTTTGGTCTTTTTTGCTGCTGGTCTTAGTCATTTCTTAGTGTGAGTATTATCAATCGCATCATGTTGTTTAGATTGATGAATCTAGAGATGCTCTTGAATACGGACGCTTACGGTTTTGATGAATTATCGATGAGTTAATCGTGTTCAACCCAATAGCTACAAAGGGTGTGGGGTATATTTTGCGTTGCTAAGCTAGATATCAGCGAAGTCTTATACACGGAATGATAATATTCATAACTCACCGCTACATTTGCGAAACATATTTATTAAATATGTCATCATTAAAAAAAATCACCGAGTTGTACATGTGCAGCAAGTTAAAGAAAGACTACCTTTAAAAAAAAAAAACTAGTCAGACAACTTATTTAACTGATTTAATTAGTTTATTTATTTTATTCAGAAAATTTTATACATATACATAAAAAGTAAACACTGGAATAATAAACTTTTTAAAAAGACTACCTCTGTGTACAGATTCTGTCTTGTACAAGTTCAGTTAATTCTGGTACCACGTTTTGTGTATGGATACGGTTGTATGGGTTTGTTTGCATTAAATTCGCATTATCAATTTGTGCTCATCGAAGTAAAGCGACTGGTTAGGATTTTTTTTAACTCCATCACATAGTGACTCGACAGTTTCTTTTGTCACGCGTTCCAATAAATGATTATTCATGTAGGCGTGGCTGATGAATGTTAGAGCAGTGTCTATTAGATTTTTAGAGCTAAAGAAATATATTAACTGCATAGGAGACGAATCCCAATATTACTTTAATTATATAATACAAGTTTCAAAACTTTTTTCCCTAGGCAGAAATGGAGTTATTGCCCGTAGTCCACTAAGTTGCTTTGCTTCCTTTAATTTGATTGGCTGAAAACCGAATAAAATCAACCAATATCAAAGCGTTTTGTATTAGGTACTCGTCTAAAGTGTTTTGAAATCGTCAAGGCGGTTTCCTTTACACAAATCAAAGAAACATGTGTACCTACATGTTGTGCAGATTTAAATTGACGTTGTACGTTTGAGTGAACTTAGTTCTCTTCAACCTTGACATGTCATCGCCAGTAATATTAGCAAATGAGTGGTAATGAAGAAATCAACATGGCCGACATACAGGAATCCGGACAAGGAATAAACAAACGAAAACAATGCGAGTCCTTTACTATTGACTTTTCTCAGGGCGGTGGACAGAAAGAGAATTTGCAAGACGCCTTTCTAAAATTTAAGAGAGATAAACAGGTACAGAACCTATTCCGTTAGGCTCGTGTATTTAAACATCTTAAAAGTGTAAATATTAATCCTGATAATATTTCCATGCGTAGATTCATTTTTCCAGTGATTAATTTGTTATCCTGTACTTGCTGAGAGAATTAACTGATATAGTAATATTTTTTTCTTTTTAAATCTTATCAGACTATAATTGTAAAGGTATGCATAGTTGTAATTGTCTAATTGTTGAAGAATGGTGTTGGTATTTTGGATAGTGTACGTTCACTCAGGGACCCATATATAGGTCCCTGGTACACTGTAAAGTAATTTTAAGATGCAATTTGTGTACTAAAGGCTGTTGTACCTATATGTAGGCATTTGTAGTTTGCAACTCATGTAGGTATTTTAATAGTTTACATTTCCAACATATAACACTTCCTTTTTGCTATGCTTGTTTTATAGGATTATCAAGAAAATTGTTGATGGAATTGGTTTGATTGTGTGAATGTAAAACAATTTTAATGTTCCTTGCATGCATATATGTATGCATAAATTCCTGATGAGTAATCAGACTTAGCATTGTACTCTATAAAAGAGGATGAATAAGACATTCATTAACAAATGAATAGATGTTAATAGATGATGATTGAACTGTTGTGGAAAATATGATAGTATTTGGTCATTCACCAGATTTATTAGTTGCTATTTGCATGTACTGATGACTGGAAAGTGTAATTAAAAGCAAAGTATCAAATGTTTATGGGGGAAAAAAAGTTTTTTTTAATTTGTTGGTTATTAAGTTTGATGTAGATTGTGGACAAATATCATTCATTTTTAATATGACTTTAATGTATGTTTTAGTATTCTTTTTGATATTTTAAACTATTGTTGTAAGGTTTATACTATTGCTGGAAGTGGACTATGGTGATATTTGACTGAACCACCACTTAATTGTAATCATGAATTGATAATGATATAGAATTGCCTGTGGTAACTAAAGTCATTTTCATTGTGAATAACAATGAGCAAGTCCAGTAAATATTCAATGTATCATTTATAAAATCAATAAGTAGATTAATTTCCTGTCAGCTTTTTTATTGAGGTGGGTACTGAGCTGAGGAGAATTACATAAACCCTGGAAGCCTTTGTGTGTTTTCCATTAGACTATGTTGCTTTGATATTTCATTATTTATACTGGGGGCCACAGAATATGTATGTATAGATGAAAAAGCAGGACCTTTAGGGAGGCATTGTCTCTTGATTTGGGGTCTGATTTCTTGTTATTTGTTACAGTATCACTGTTTTACCTGTTCTCCAAATTATATATCACACAAACATACAGTACATATTTCAATAATTTTGCAGTTGAAATAGATGAAAACATTTTTTTTATAGCTGACCACTGAACTAAAAAAAGAAACTCTTATGTGATTTTCTGATTATCAGTTTGTTAGATTATCACTTTTTAACTTCTTAAACAAAAACTATCATAACCAAGTTTAAAGAAATGGGGGGGGGGGGGGGGGCTTGAGGTAATGAGCAATCAAATACATGAAACAAAGTGCCCTTCTACTTTTCATTCAGAGAAAATTACATAAAAGAAGGTTTTTAATGTAGATCAGCAAAACTAGATGAAATAATTGTTCTGTAGTGGTGGATTAAAATGAGACAGAAAGGATCTTAACTTGTTGACGTTTCCTTTGTACAGATGATCACAGCCCTCGATGGTCAGGACAGGGTCACCAAAAGATTGTATATGGGGAAAAAATTACCCCCCCCCCCCCCAAAAAAAAAATGATTTGAAATATCTCTTTGTAGCTAGATTTCAACTTGTCAAATTCATAGCAATATCTGTGTTGAAGATTTTGGGGCTATAGTTGCTTAGTTGTTAAGGTGTAGAACAGCATTTATTTACTTTTAACAAAGTTTTAGCAAGCTTTACATTTTTAAAAAGAAACAGATATTTCCTTATTTGATTTTACTAGCAAGGAAATAATAAACTTTTTGTTTAGGCTTATGTTGTGTTTTATCATGTTTCATTGGTCTAAAAGTATATTAATATTTTCACAAGTAGCTCTAAAGGGAATTTAAGGGTTTTAGAATTTGTCTTTTGGTATAAATTTTTATTTTTTCCTATAGATACATGTTGTTGAGAGTAAAATACAGGTAATTATGGGTCACCAGTTTTCAGCGTACATTTTGTTAAGTAAAATGTTAACCTGGTTAAGTCAACAGAGGTGGCCAATTTTAGTATCTCTACATTTTTATTTTGTCTTTAAAAGGTGCAGAAATCATGTCAAGACCAAAAAAACTAGTGTATAAGCACTTTTAAGTGGTTTCTTCTCTGTCCTTCATTTTTTTTAAATATTAAGATATCGAGAGGCCTTTACTAATATTTAAATTTCCCTGAAAGTTATTTTAAGAGCCCATTGATCCTTAAAGATAACATTCAGGGGCTTTGAAAGAAAATGAAATGGGAGATTAAATGAGATTACTTGAATTTGTTAACCTCCAGTGAATTTTTCTATTAATGCATGCACTTGTGGTAGTCAACATTAGTACCATTTGCTTTGGTTTTAATTTTGCAATTAAGGATTTGAAAAGCTTCTGCTAAAAATGATTTTGTGAATCCATTTGAATTCTTCAAAATCTCTTTGAAAGTTTTAACTGAGACACTGATTTTCCATTTGAAACTACATGTATTATGATTTTCCAGCTCTGGCATGAAAATGAACATTGTATTGAAATTTAACTATCAACCCATCTCAAACATGTTTTACATTCAGTTGTGATATTCCAAAAATGTTTCGGTCAATATCAATATTTTTACACCAAGCAAGGTATAATTCTGACATAGCAATTTTAGGTGAAATGACACAAAGGGGAGAAAATGTGTAAGAAAACTATGGTTCTTCATTGATTTTTTGGAAATAAATTGATTCTCTTTTTTGCCTTGGAGGATTGATAGAGAAACTGTATAGAGAAGTCAGGTTCGCTAAGTAGGAAGTTGTGTGGAGTTTGCTTTGGCATGTAGTGATTGAAGAATGGTGTCAAAACCTTTGTGAAATTTAATAGCTTTTTCTGCCTCAGTCTTGCCACACTGAGACAGGGAATTCATACTTTGCTTTTGAACATAAATAATTTCCATACATAATGAGAAAGGCACAAAAAGAAATGATAATCAACTTGAAGAAGGAAATTCTAAGTGATGTGTTTTACCTGAGATGACAAGGGCTGATCAATTGCACAATAAACAACACTGTTGAACTTTTTTTTAATGTTTGATCCATAATTTGGACAATTTCTTACGTTACTATATGATTGATGTTTTATGGAGTTCTTTTTATGGAGGTGTTGGTGATCATTCCCCCCTGATGGTGACCGGTGGATCATGTGAGGGTGAGATCCCTTGGGAGGTAAAAAGCGCTATACCTTTGTACAATTTATCGATCACGGTGTGGTACCATTATAATCCGGTGTTGGCACTTCTTCCTTTGTTATCTCAGTTGACAAATATTTGTTACAAACAAAAGAGTTATCTCTTCTCTCCTGATAGATTTAATGACTTTTTTTTAAGCTCAATACCAGACCTCTTTGAAAGGACCATGTCCAGGTATATCTAAATGGTATTGATTTCTTGACCACTGCATTCTTTTTTTGTTGGTCCGATAATGAGTGGTGAGGTGTTTTCTTTGTTTGAGGTATATTTATTAATATTGGACAGTTAAAAATAGAAAAACAAATATTTTCTCTTTTTACTGAAAACAAATATTGTTACACAATTTATGAGGCGCTGGTTTAAATTTGAGAAACTTGGAGAATTTTTCTTTATGATTCAGAGATGTTGGTTCTTTTATCTGGCCGAGAGTGTGCGTGACTCGTGGGAGATTGAAAGTCCCCTTAACCATGTACAGTCAACAAAGTTGAGATTTATGGTGTTTGATTCAGCACTTCTGAGGTTTTACCCTTTTCATTTTTTTTGTACTGATAATTGTGCAATAGAAATGAATTTTGAAGAAGTACATGTACCTGTAGATTTGTGTGTAAAATTTCCAGCTCGTACTAGGCAGGACCCCTTTGTTTCCTGGTTGTATTGATCCTGGGATCAAAATAGGAGACATTGTCTTTAAGAAAATGCAGAGTCAGGTTTAGGATCAATATTTTGTGTTACTATTGAGATGTGGTGGGCTTAAACTCACAAATATATGTCTTGGTAACTGCTACCTGTATTAATTTAGGAGTTTGTGTATACAGTGCTTGAAAACATTATTTTTGTATTATGTAAGATGGGGCTTTAATTCATTTTTTTATGTTCCAGGTTATGCTTTGAAATTTTTTTTTGATAGCTGGTTGTTTTTGATACAGGAGGTCTTTGTTGTAAGTTTGTAACATTCCAGATACAATTCCCCTGTTGTGCTTTCTCAATATCAGATAGGAGGACTTAAAACCCTTCTATCACAAAACTCTCTGTCCCGTGGAAACTCTAACAATACTGTGCTCTCGTTGACTTAAGTCTGCAGTTGTTGAAGCACGTTTAATGACGTTTGGGTCAATATTGACTGGGAGATTTTCATAGCGTAATATACCTAGCGCTCAAACATTTCACCTGATCCAAAGAGTAAACGAAGCTACGCTTACCCTGCAACCATTGTTGGAGAATTTCATTTTAAAGAGGAGATGAGTAGAGGTTAGCATTGAGTGGTGAGAGAGACCTGTGATTTTTTTTATTTGAACCCTATTGCTGAAATGCTTAGAGGATGTTATACTGTGCTTGAGGACTTGAGGTAATTCAGTTCAGGTTTAGTTTTTTCGTAAGGAAGCCAAATAATAATTTTTTCTCATTTAAATGCAAACTTATCCGGGTATATAATGGGCAGGATTGAATTTCTGCTATTTTTCCCGGTGATTTTTTTCAAAAGTAGCACTGGTGCATTTCAAATTATGCTTCCTTTAAGGAAAATAGATATGTTTAAATTCTGAAAATAAGTTTTTTTGAGGAGAAGATGGATTTGTAGAGATGATTGTGATAG